GGAGATCTCTCATAGCACGTTCAACATCCAAATTAGTGATTTTCAAACATTCATCAACAGTTTTACCAATGCAAAGTTCTGCTGTAACATCAGAAGAAGCAATAGCAGTACCACACCCAAATGATTTAAATGTTGCTTTCTCTACAATATTAGTTTTTGGATTAACTCCCCAATACATTCTAACAGCATCACCACATGCCTCAGCTCCCCAATCAGCAACAATAACTTTCCATCCATGTTCTTTACCTTCTTCTTCAGTAATTTCACCACGGTGTTGTGGGTTATCCATATGGTCTTTAACTTTCTTACTATAATGTTCCCAAAGAGCTCCACCAATTAATTTATTCTTTGACATATTCTAATGATTATTGTTTCTTAGTAAGCTAGGTTTAAATCTTAGTTTTCGTGGCGATACGTTGTTATTTTCCCTTATTTTGTTTTTGAAAGGTCCAATTTAGGGGCACTTTTCATTATATTTATTTGTTTTTTTTTACTATAATTCATTAGGATATGTTTACTTCTTTAAGAGAATTAGTCTGACTTTGTTCTTAAGTACAACAAGAGAGGTTGTTTATAGTATTTGGTGCCAATACCTGAGACATCATAAAGTGATGATAAAAAGAATGTCCAGGGTTTGTTATTATGAAAAAACAAATGTTAAAATTTTGTTAGTTTGATTTCAATTAGATATCATTAAAGTGAAATTAAAAGAAGGCAATGAGTAATGTAACAGTTAAGGTCATAATAATAAGAACAGAGGAGTCTTCAAGTTTGGATTCTTCAGACGAAGTTTGTACTTTAGGATATTCGAAAACACCAGCAGGTAATGGCTCATTAGTAAACATAAAGTCATTAAACATGATGTTTGTATCACGGAGGTCATTCTTGTTAATTCTAATAGTGTTGATATCTTTCGAATTAAGTGACGATATATCTACAACAACTCTATTCCATTTTTGTGGTTCTAAAACATCAGGTTTAAAATTGAAAGCAGTAAGACATTTATCTGTTCCAAGTTCTACTCCAATTCTTAAGTTACAGTATTGATCTTCCCAATTAACTGCAAATGTTAAATAGTTATAATCTTTTATTGGTGTGTCTGAATATAAATTTAAAAATTTATCTCTTGCCATTTGGGTATAGAGAATATACTGTCCATTATATTGACCCGTTTGAGAAGCATAACAACTAGACTCTTTTTCATACCAGTTATTTCGAAATGTTCCATTACTAAATACTGTGTAATTAGCATTTGATAAATAAACAAAAAAACAAAAGATTACTGTTAAACTATTCATCAGTGAAATGAAACACATGTTTTAGGACCATCTTTTTATTGAAATTTCTTTCGTTTTGGAGTGGTTCTCTTTTTCATTAGTATTAGTGATTACTTATGTATAACCAAATACACAAAAGTGCACTAACAAAAAATTTAATTTTATGGAGTAATTTTTTATATTAGAAAATATTCTTTTATTTTAGACATTCATTAATCTTAGAAGAATAGAAAGTAGTACAGTTATTATGCTGAAAAAACCTCAATAACAATTTGGTTGGAATTGATTTTATAAAGTGAATAAAAAAGTGATAATTTTTGATAGGTTTAAGATTTTCTGAGGGATATTCAACTACTTGAAGTTATTACTTGAAGAAGTTTCAAACATCAGTTAAAGAGTTTTGAATCGAGCTCATTGTCAAGAAATAAAATAAAGAAAGAAACAACAAAAGGGTTTACAACAATAAAAATGAAAAGTTAAAGAATATGAGAATTAAGTGGGAAAAAACCAAATACTTAATTTACGATTATTCCAAAAAAAAGATTTTAACTTCATTACAATTAAAAATATAATGTGACGTTAGTGGGGCAAAACAAATTAAAATGATAAAAAAGTTTATGTAAAAATTGAAGATTAAGTTCAAATAAAAGACATAAACTATAATCTGTTAAGAATTTGTTAATAAAAAGAAATTTATTTATTAATTGATATTTTTATTAATGTTGAATTAAATTAAATAAAACGTGTAAAGGAATTATCATGAATTACTCATAAAAGTAATTATGTACTTATCTCAAGAAAATTTTATTTGTTTATTCTTATCTTTTTGTTCTATTAAAATAACTACTAATAAAATGATAAGGATAATAACTCTTAAAAATAAAATAAGTGGTCATGTTATCAGATAAAGTGAACAGATGACTATGTGTTCATTTTTCTTTTTTATATTATATTTTAAGATCTACCTAAAAACTTCAAAGTAATCAACCAAAAAGATAAAAAGGAAAAAAATCAAAAAAAAATCTTACTTGTAAAGCAAGTAATGAGTAAGAAAGAGGTAGAAATTCCATTGGTATCATCAGATGAAGAGGATTGGATGTTTCCTGTAGACAACAGGAAATGGTATGAAAAGATACCAGCATTAAAGTGGTATAAACAATTTCATAAAGTTTGTAAAGTTATAAAAGCGAAAAGAGAGATAAAACTAATTACTTTTATAGCCAAGGAGCATTTATCGTCCTGAAATTATAAATGCACCAAAATATATTACCAACAAAGTAAGTAATACTAGAACAACATGGTACAGCTTTCTTCCTATGTCATTATTTAATCAATTTAAATATTTCTATAATCTATACTTTTTATGTAATGCATGTTCTCAATTAATTCCAATATTTAAAGTTGGAATGACGTTTACATACTTCGCACCATTAGTTTTTGTTGTTTGTTTAGCCATTTGCAAAGATGCTATTGATGAAATTAGAATTGCACTTAGAGATGTTGTTTGTTTTTATCTTTAAAGAGATAACACAATTTTGTTATGCTTATCATGTAGAAATTAAATAACGAACAATTTGAAGAACTTCGTAATGGTGAATTTATCCCTATAAAAGCTAAAGATATACAAGTTGGTCATATTCTTCGTTTAAGAAAAGGCCAAAGAGTTCCTTCAGATTTAGTAATTCTACAATCATCAGATGAAGATGGTAGTTGTTTTATTAAGACAGACCAACTTGATGGAGAAACAGACTGGAAGTTTAGAAGATGTATCAAAGAATTTCAAGGGCTAGATCTTTTATCATTAGAGAACACAACATTTTGTATTGATTGTGAAGCCCCACAAAATGCAATTTATAGTTTTACTGGTAGAATCAGAAAAGAAAACGATACTATTCCAGTGTCTGTTGATAACACAGCTTGGGCAAATACAGTATTAGCAAGTGAAGAAATTATTGGTGTTGTTATTTATACTGGAAAAGAGACTCGAAGTTCAATGAACCGAAATGGTCAGAGAAATGTTAAGTGGGGAAGGGTTGATATGGCATTAAATAGTGTATCAAAGGTATTATTTTGTATTATGTTAGGATTATCTATATTAATGGTAGTTCCAGATTTATGTAGAGGTATTTTTTCATCATTTACAATTGTGATTGTTGTTCGATTCATGATTTTGTTTTCATCTATTATTCCAATTTCAATAAGAGTAAATTTAGATATTTCTAAGTTAATTTACTCTATGTTTATTTCTACTGATGAAAAAATAGAAGGTGCTGAAGTTAGAAACTCTTCAATTCCAGAAGAACTTGGACAAGTTCAATTCTTATTATCAGATAAAACAGGGACATTAACAAAAAATGAAATGTCTTTTAAAATCCTTTCACTTGGTAATCAAACATATTCAGTTGATAGTGCTGAAGAAATAAAAGAAGAATTAAAAGAGTATACTCAAATTGATTCTAATAGTACTATCTTACAAAAGAATTCTACTAGTAAATTATTTGAATGTATTAAAGCATTAGCATTATGTCATAATGTCACTCCATCAATTTCTAATGAAGGAGAACGGTATTATCAAGCAAGTAGTCCTGATGAAGTTGCTTTAGTTAAATTTACTGAGTTAGTTGGAATTACTTTGAAAGAGAAAACTTATACAACAATGAAATTAGATATTGAAGGTAAAGAAAAGAAATATGAAATATTAAATATGTTTCCTTTCAGTTCCAGTACTAAAAGAATGGGGGTAATTGTTAATAGTGATGAAGGAATTGTTTTGTATATGAAAGGGGCTGATAGTGTAATGTCCAAGTTAATTGATAATGTCGAATGGTTAGGTGAAGAATGTGGAAATTTAGCAAAGGATGGATTGAGAACATTAGTATTTGGAAAGAAAGTTATAAGTAAAGAAGATTATGAGACATTTAAAAAGGAATTTAATGCAGCTAGTTCAGCTATGACTGATCGTGATGAATTAATAACTAAATCTATTGCTAAAATTGAAAATAATTTAAAAGTGTTATGTATTACTGGTGTAGAAGATGAATTACAAGATGACGTTCAACAATCACTTGAAATGTTGAGACATGCTGGTATTAGAACATGGATGTTAACTGGAGATAAAGTAGAAACTGCGTTATGTATTGCTAAATCAACTCGGTTAATTGGAGTAGATCAAGAAGTAAGAGAATTCTTTGCAAATAGTGTTCAAGAAGCAGAAATATTAATGGAAAGATATTCAATAAGTATAGAAAGTGATGGACTCATTGTTGATGGATCAACACTTTCATTAGTACTAAAAGAAATCCCAGACAAATTTATTCACTTTGCATTACAAGCAAAAAGTGTTATTTGTTGTAGATGCATGCCAACACAAAAAGCTGAAATTGTTTTATTAGTAAAAAAATCTGGAATACGTACTTGTGCTATTGGAGATGGAGGTAATGACGTAAGTATGATTCAAGCAGCTGATGTTGGATTAGGAATTGAAGGAAAAGAAGGCAAACAAGCATCAATGGCAGCAGATTTTTCATTAAAACAATTTAGTCATATAACGAGATTATTGTTATGGCATGGAAGAAATTCATATATTCGTTCAAGTGATTTGGCATTATTTATTATGCATCGAGGAATGATTATTTCTATTATGCAAGCTATCTTTAGTGCAATATTTAACTTTGCTCCAGTGGCATTATTCCAAGGATTTTTGTTAATGGGATATGCTACTTATTACACTATGCTTCCTGTTATTTCACTTATTCTTGATGAACGAGTTAATGAACAAAAGGTTATGGAATTTCCTGATCTATATCATCAACTTCAAACAAAACAACGTCTATCTTTAAGTAGTTTGATTGCTTGGGTGTCTTTAAGTATATTACAAGCTGTAATTATTATGTTCTTATGTATGGTACTCTTTAAAGATACTTTCCTTAATATTGTATCAATTTCATTTACTGCATTAATTTTAATCCAATTAATTAATGTTGGATTTACAATAAGAAGATGGAATTGGATTATTCTTGGTTCAGAAATATTCTCTATAGCAATTTATTTCATCTCCTTCTTTGTATTAAAGTCTTATTTCGGTTTGTCCTTTATTTGTTTTTATTACTTCAATTCATTCTCTAATCTATCTAGACCTTTCTTTTGTTTTTAGTTGGGAATTCTGGTGGAAATTGGTAGTTATTATATTATTGACTTCAATTCCATTCATTGCCAAATTCTTTTATCAATTAATTTTCCCACCAAAATACATGACAGTAGAAAATAGGCGTTGTCCAGTGAGTTTCAACTATAAATGTCCAAAGATGAAATTCTTTAATAAGTATTTACGTTACCTATCATATTTGAATCCATATAACTATTGCCACAAAAATGAAGAGAACAAACAAATGAAAAGAATAGATTAATTAATTGATTTTTATTCAAAAACAAATCTAATTTCAATTTTTGATTAGCATAACAAAAAATCAATTAAGGTCTTTTTTTCTTTTTACTCATCTTCTTCCTCACTTGATTCTGGAGCTGACCCACTTGAACTGTCATCCTCCTTTTTACTTTCTTCAAGTTGTTCACTTCCAGAGTTACTTCCTGATTGAGATCCACTTCCAGACCCAGATTTATAAGAGCCAGTACCAGAAGAACTTCCTGAAGATGAGCCAGATCCACTGCCTGATTCACCAGATTGATTTTCTTCATTCGAGCTTTCATCCTTTTCTGTAGTTTCTTCAGCAGTCTGATAGAAAATATTGTCATCATCATCAAAGACTTTATTATTCTTTCTTCTTAACAAGAACATACGAGCAACTACAATAAAGACAATGAAGAGGATAATTATAATAACAATGATCACACCGACAATAACTAATATAACAATTACCCAAGTTGGAACATCATCGTTAGTAATATTTTGAATAATAACTGCATCACTAGTACCACATGGATCATCTGGACAACTTTCAATAACATATCCTTTAGGTACAACAGCAAGATAAATTGAACAAACTTGAACAAATTCATATTCAACAGAAGAATCTTGTTTTCGATTGGTCTTAGTATTATCAGTATTAACAGGGTCTTTAGTAACAACTACTGTGATGTTATTATTTGCAATATAATCACTTGATGTTACACGGAATAAATAAAGTGGTTCATTAAGAGAAATACTTGGGATATGAACAGTGACTTCAACATCTCTAAACCTAACATTAGAAGAAGGAGCAAAGACAATTGGGAATGTTTGTGGAGAGTCTACTTCAATATCTAAACTATTAGCTTCATAATCCCATTGTCCTTTCTCGAAATAGATAGATGATCTTATTGATTTCATGGAATGAATAAGAGAGCTTATAGATGATGATTCACTACTACCTAATCTAACTTGTCGGGAATCAGTAGCAACAACAGAAGAGAAATAAACACCTTCATCATCAAAGGTTAATGAAAAAGTAGCAGAATTATTCATAAATGTAAGGTCAGAACGAGCGCTATAACTAATTTCAGAACCTGATGGTTGAACAGGGATAGTGTTACTTGTTTGGATAGACTCTATCTTGAAAGAAGAATAAATACCTGCCACGCCAATATCATAATAAGTTGGGTTAGTACTTTTTCCAGATTCTAAAGTTTTTGGAGCATAATTTAATAATGAAATAGAACCACTAAGCCCTTTAAATGTAAGTGTTTTAACATTTGAAACAACCATTTTATCAACAACAGCTTTTCCTTCATTCAATTCAACATTCTTATCAATATCAATTTCCCATGTACTTAGAGCAGTTGCATTGAGTCCTAAAACAGCAACAGTATCTTCGTCAACAGATGGTTTTTCTTCATCATTAATTTTTAAGATACATTGTCCTCCATCACATGGACATCCTCTTCTATTCCAACTAAGTAAATCATTATCAACTATCTCAGAATCATTATAAATAATATACCCATCAACAGGATTCTTATAATTTAAAACACATACAATTTCACTTTCTCTTTGAGAAGTATCTCCTTTATAGTACAAAACACTTTTAAATTCATCCATTAAATATGAACTCTTTTGGAAATCTCCAACATATATATATTCAATATCGGATGCCTGAACAATTGGATACTTAACAACTTCCAAAGGAACAACAGAAAGACTATTCACTTTAAATACATGATCATCTCCGATATCAAGGAAGAATAACTTATTACTTGAGTCTTGTTCTCCTGGATATTGTGATCTGCTAAGTGTTAATCTATTTACAATAATATCACTAGTAAATCGTAAAGGTTTTTTAGCCATAAGAGCAAGATCAGCATCTTTCATATCTGTTCCAAGACTTAACTCAATATTTTTGTCAGAAGGTATACCATTCAAGTTAAGAGTTATAGAACTTCCCTGCTCAATACCAATCGTTGAGTTATCAGTGTTACCAAGTCTGAAGGATGTTTCATCACGGAAAGAAAAGAATACACTTGACTCTCTTGTCTTAGTTGATTTAATTTCAGAAGGAATTTCAAAATAAACTTTGGTTGGCTGTTTAGTGTAAATGTCAATACAACTAGCAGTAATTTTACCAGTTCCTTCATTCGCATCATTTGTATCTTTACTGATATAAATAGTACCTCTGAGAATCAAATTTTGGATATCAACAGATGCACTGGTTACATTAATAGAAACAGAAGAATCAACTCTAACATCAACATAATGCCCATAGAAGTTTGTAATATTTTTACCATTTAATGTATTAGGAATAGATACAGAACATGCTGATGTGTATTTAGATGATTGTTGATCTTCTTGGCCGCAGGGACAATTAGGTGATAATAAATATGAGGAACTTTCGTTTGCAAGTATTATGTCATCATCAGTATCTTTGAATACACAATCAATTCTTCCTTCACAAGCATAATTATTTACAAAAGATGCTGGACATAAAATAATTTTTAATGGATTACATCCAACATCAAAATATTTTTGATCAAGAGAAGTTGGTTGTTCATTATTATAAGAATTAACACTTGCAAGAGCACTACAAGTTAATTGATCTCCAGTTTGGGTATAAGAAATATCGCTAGCCTCAAATTGATTCAAATTTTCAAAATCAAAAATAGTTTTATGACTAAATACACTCATATCATACTGTAATTTTGCACCATTAACAAATTTTAATTTTGAACCTTCATTTATAGTAATATGAGATTGCGTTTCATTGTTTTTATAAATCATTAAACTGTTCACAATAACTTTTGAAGTATTTCTAATAGTTAATTCTGAATCAACTTCTAAATTGAATACACCACTTCCTTCTGATATAGCAGATTCATCCTCATTTAATCCTTCATCGCTTTTTTCTAAAACATTAATATTACCTTCAAAGAATGTATCAGTTTCACATTTTATATCTAAGGTAGTACTTGGATGAATTTTAGTATAACCAAGAGTAGATTGATGATGGAATATAATTTTAACATCTTTCATTGTTTCAAGTGTTGTGATTTTAACACCACCAGGAGTATTAAAATCAACATTAGATGACAAATAAAGTGCATTGACAATAAATTTATTGAATTCAAAATTAACACTTTTAGCTTTAATATTCATAGAAGAGAATGTTTGTTCATTTTTAGAGGAAGTAAATAAAATATCACTATCTTCACTATCAAAAACAACATCACAACTATCTGATGACTCAGAAATATCATGTCTACATGGACACCCTTGATCAATATTTCCTTCATAAGAATTTGGTGATGACAAATCAATGGTATTATCATTGATATCAGTATTCTTGAGTTTACAAACCTTTTGTGCAAGTCCTATTTCAGAACATTTAAAATTGTTAGAAGCTGATCCTACATACATAAAAGCCCTATTAGTACATTTTAGAGAAAGTCCATTTGGTATATCCCCATTATAACTCTTAAAATCATTACTTTTGGTGATGACAAGATAGTGACTATCTGATTCAGTACCTTTTGTGTATGTAATAACTTTATTAACAACTAAAGGATCATTTGCTAGTTCAATGAGTGGTTCACTAACATCAGTGTTAAGTCCTGAAAGATCAAAGTGAGCTGTTTCTGCAATAACATTACCACCAGTATTCTTAATACTACTCAAGTGATCCATTTCAATTCTTTTGAACTTTTGTTGTTGGTTAAATGAAACTTTAGAATTCTTCAATATAAGTACTTGATCATCTGAAAATACAAAGTTAGCTGGAAGTGTAAGATTTATGTTTTCAAAAGTTAAATATTTTGGAACATTTGTGAATTTTGAGATTGTAAGATCAAACATGCCATCTAAAGAAGATTTAATGATAACATTACTCTTATCTTTCATATCAAGTTCACTAAATAACCCTGAAGTAAATTCATTACCTCCAATAATAAGACTGTCATGTCCAAAAGTGAATTTTTGTTTACTAAAATCATTAAACATGTTTTTATCATCCATCACAAGATCTCCTGAACCAACAGAATAGAATGAGTCACAACTAAGATAGTTGTTTGTTGGATCATTATACATACATAAACAAGTTTCACTACCAGTACCCAATCTAATATAACTTAAATCACATGAAAGATATGGCACCAACTCTTTATTTTCTTCATCTAAAGAAGTGACTATAAAATGGTCATCAATAGTAGTTGAGTTTGGTTTGATTTTGATATAACTATTAGAACTTAATTTTATTGTTGAAGTGAAATCTTTAGAAATCTTAACACCAGTAATATCAAGATACCCTGAATTGAGAATGACAACATCTTCCCCACTAAACTTACTTCCTTTAAAAGTAACACTCCCTCCATTTGCATTAATAATAAAATTATTGTCTGAAAGAATATTTGCATTTCCCTTTTGAACAGTTAACCTAACTGAACTTGAAATGGAAGATTGAACTGTGAAAGTGCTAGCACTTGTATCAATTTCCCTAGAAGAAGCTTTAAGAATAGAAAACTCTTTTACAGTATCTTTAATAGTAATTTTATGTTCACCTGTTTGTGAATAAATAACAACTTTTTTGAATTTTTCAAAACTAATATCTGCACTAAGAGCAAGAGTTGAAATTGTTAGTGTTGATTCTTCTTTTCCTTTTAGAACAATCTCTTTATCTCCATCAACTGTTAATGTATTGTAATGAGACTCTTCTGACTCAATAGTACCTTCTGCCCCAATAAATAAATCACAAAGCTCATTAGATGATGAACATGGACATGCAGCCCCAGAACTAAAATCTCCAGAAATTATACTAAATGTATTTTGATAACATTTAATTGTACTTGTCTTGTCTTTAGTTAAACCATTTCCTGTTGTAAAACTGAGACTATTATGATATAAATAATATGAAATATCACTCTCATATGATGAAACGGTTATATCAAATCGGGCAGAAGTAACTTTAACTATTTCAGAACTATCAGAACCAAGTTTTTCAATACTTAGTTTATAAGGTGCTGAAACACTAAACCCCTTTGATAGAATAGCTTGTTTAAAAATAACATCATGTGATTCAGTACTTTCTCCAAAACTAATAGATCCTGATGCATCACTACTCACTGAAATATAATCTAAAGTAACACCTCCAGAAATGGTTATTTCTCCAGAACTGAATATTTTTCCACTAGTAGCTCCTTGTAAAAGGAGATTCCCACGATTACTAATTTGAACACCTTTCATAGAAGGAACAGTAAGAGAAGCACCTCTCTGAACAACAACTTTACCTGAAGATTCTCCAGATGTGCTGAGTGAAACAGTTGAAGGACTATCAACTATTAAATAACAATTAGAATCAACTGTTACTGATGTACACTCAGAGCTAAGGCTCATAAATGTATTACATGAACATTCTTTTGAAAATGAAGAGAATGTAAATAGTGCAAGTAAGACAATAAACATTGAAACTAAATATTATTTAGTCCAAATTCCTTTTTAACTTGTCTATTTTTAATTTTTTTTTAATTATAATTTTTCCAATTTACTTGGTTTTCCCGATATAATATTCATTTCTTTCTCTGAAGATTCTTTCGATTTATCTTTTTTTAATAATTTTATTTTTAATTACTGAAATATTTTTAAACCTGAAAAATTACTTTTTTATAATTTAAAGGAAATTTTATAAATTATAATGAATAATTCCTTTAAAGTATTATGTTACTTTCCAAATATAAAGTTTTGAGTTTTCCATAATTTAATTTTGAGAATTACTCAAGTAATATTACCCATTATTTTAAATAATTGCATCATTTAGAAGATTAGACTCAAAATATATAAATACATATTTACCTAAATTAACAAATTGAGACAAGTTATTGATAAAAAAAGGTGTTTTTATTAAAAAAGACTATTTCTAAATTATGTTAATAACTCCAATTTCTATGATTTTGTTTCATTCTAAAGATATTCTCAGATGAAAAGAAAAGTTTTTAACAAAAATTACCGATGAGGAACGTTAAATTTAAAAATCAAATAGATCAAAAAATAACAATAATAAAGTTGATTTTTATCTTTTATTAAAGTTTAAATTGAAAAACCAACAAAAATCAAAGTAGAAAGAAAAACAAAACTTTTAATAAAATTCATTTAAAAGTATTTTATTCAAAAATCGATAAATCAAATTTAAATGGTTCTTCTCCACAGTTTACCATAATTTCATTAAACCGATCACATGCAATAGCAGCAGAAATAGATTCCCAATCAAGGGTAATACTTTGAACTATAACACCATTTCTAGTAAAGAAAACTTCATGAGTTTTTCCGTTATATCCACAACCACCAACATTTTCTATACCAACTTCATTTCCATAAGGAAGATTAGTTTGTATTCTATTATAGAACCCATTAAAAATAATACCATCATCAGCGTGATATCCGATTGAATATTGGTTCCACCCAACATGACAATTATCAAAACTAAAGTACCGTTTTGTGTCAATTAAACCAATAGAAACAAAACTTACACCTTTTACTTTAACTTCAAAATATCTTATATTTTTAATTGTCTTACATTCTCCATTTAAAGTCATAAAATTAAAAAGTTGTTGTTTGTTTTGTTCAGTATAAAAATTATTGGAAACTGCCATATTAATATCACCATCAGAAATATAGGTTGTTTGAATAATCTTTCTATTTTTAATTTTAATCTGAGAAGAAATTGGAGGTACAAATGGTCTTACTTTAAATACTTTTTTATCAAGTTTATTTTTATCAAATGGATATTCAAATACACTTTCAATCATTTCTTTGAATTGACTCAATTCTAAATTAGCAAATTTCATTGGATTATTTTCATTAGTTTCATTCCAAACAAAAGATGAAACAACTTGGGTATCAGTTTGTTGTGCATTAAATTTTATATTATTATTAAATTGTTGTAATGGCTCATTATTAATACCACTATCATCTACTTTCTGTTGTCCAAAATTAACATACGATTCTTCAATATATACTTTCTTATTTTTGAATGAAAATATATTAAATGTACAGTCTTCACAATTGACTAATGATATTTCTTCTATTCCATTTAAGTTAGATGGTATTAAAATACGACGTGAGTTAAATACTTTAACTTCTTTTAACACATTAAAAGTGCAATCAATAAATCTTATTTTTGAAGAATTATTGATAAACAGTTTATTTAATTGATTAAATTGAATCTGAGTAAATTGAATTGATTCACTCATTTGAATAGAAAGTTCTTTTAATGAAAAGAATGTATCTAATTCAAAACTAAGTGAAATACAATCACAAACAACACATTGTTCTACATTTTCCATTCTTACATTAACCTTTTGAGATAACCCCCATTGAGTTTTATTTCTTTCAAACCTAATTATTTTAATACAATTAGGGACTGTCCAATTTTCTTTTTCTCTATTTTGAACATACCTATAAAAAACTAATATTGGATAAGATTTTTCTATAATTTCATTCATAGAATTATTTTTCATTGCTCCATTAATAAAAGAAGTACCTTTTTCTACATCCAAATGATCTCTGTATTCATTACACATTTCATCACTTATGAACCTATAATAATACCTAATTTTTTTAAAGTGAATTAATACTTCTTTATTCTCTGGATGTTGTAATACCAATAAACTAACATTTGATAATCCATTATTTGGGATACATTTTTCTAAACGTTCAATTAAAGAAATAACAGTTTCATCAAGTTTAATAGCAAACCCATTGTATGAAGTAATATGAATTATCTTTGGCATTTTAATATAAATGTCAACACCGTTATTAGTATAATTTTCCATAAACATTGTAATCCATTCTAAATCTCCTTCAAGAAAATCTAATTGATCAAATAACTTACTATATCTAATAATAACAGAAAATGTTTCTTTAAATAATTGATCATTTTTTTCATCATCACATTCAATCATCCTTTTTTGTATATATAATCTTTTAACTTTTGGAAATACACAACTAATAAATTCTTCATTAAGTTGACCATTTTTCATAAAAATTTCAAATAATGGATTTCTAATTAATTTACATCGTTTAAATACTTCAATTTCGTTAAAAAAACAATTATCAAAATCAATTGTTTCAACTTGAAAATGGTTTAAAAACCATTTAAATGAATTGTCATTAATGAAACATGGATTAACTTTTAAACATTTAACAGCCTCTTCGCATTTATGAGAAACCATTATAAAATTTTTAACATCATTGGATGTAGAAAATTTCAATAATATTTTAGCCAAATAAACAACTTCAAACACTGACCTTTTCATTAAATAAACTTAAAAATTTAATAGTTCTATAAATACTTAGATAAACGTGAAATTCTAAAACTTTCTTTCAAAAATAATAAAATTTTTCTTAATTTTTAATTATCTGAAGAATAAAAAAGATGATGCACAATAGCATTTCGATTTAATGGCTTTAATTCTTCCCATTGAACAACAAATATATCAGCAATAAATTTTAATATTTTACCAGTAAGAGATAACGTAGTTACTCTACACACACTTTCAAGATATATAATTCTTGTTTTTTTATTTTGGAATAACTAAAAAAAATTAATGTAAATGTTTTATTAAACACTTAAAACCATTAAAAATAACAAACATTTAAAAACCAACAACAAATACAAACAGGAACACATGTTCCTGGTCCATTACAAAGTAATACTTCTGGTCTAATTTTCAAAACCATACCAATACAAACAAATATCGCATATAGTGTTGTAAAAATAGAAGTAAAATATGACTGTCCAACTTTCCTACTTCGTGGAATTTGATGAACTTTATATTTACTTTTTAACCCTTCTACCTTTTTTGAACTTATACTATCACTCTCAGCTACAATTATATCAAATTGTTTGATAGACTCATAGCATAATTCATCCAATGGCTGTAACACATGAAGCATTTCCATTGTATGTCCACCACTTCCAAGAACTACACAAATCTCTTTATCTTTATTTTTTTCTAACCCACACCACTCCTTCATGAGATTACCAATTTTATCATCTACTTCTTTTCCTTTAAGAACAATATCTTTTCCAGGTTGAACACTGTAATGAGAAAGTAATTCTTTTAATGTAGACGGAGAGGGACAATATGTAACTGCCCCTAATTCAGAAAGTTTTTTTGCCATTTCTGTTTGATGGTTATTCATTAGTGCATCATTAATAACAACAATAGTCGGTTTTTTTACACTAAGTGCCTCATTTACAGATCCAGCACCTGCATGAGTAATAATTAAATCAGCAGCTTTAAAATCTTCTAAAACTGATGTCTTCATAGAGAATGAATGAACCGTTATACCTGCTTTACTTTTAGGAATACACTTTCCGTGTCCATATTGAACAACCATTTCAGTAATGCCAATTTGGGAAAGTTGTTTCATCACATCTTCTTCATTAATAGTTTCAATGAGTCGTTCAAATTCAGTTGTACCAACAGTGACAAAAAGTTTCATAAAACGATTTTATTCAATTGAATATTTTTTAAGTTCAAGAAATAAAAAACGTAAAAAACACTAAGTAACACGTAACTTATTTTATCAGTTGAACTATGTCATTTGTTTATTTTTAATTCTTTATCATTGGTGATTCTACTTTTTTGTTTTTCTTATCAGCAATATATAATTTAGTGTAATGAACCACTTCAATTATAACAGCAACAGATAGCACTAACCCACACACTAAGCAAATAACCCAAATAGGACTTCCTTCTTGTGGACTTTCAGACATTATTTATGACTTTTGATTTTAGTTTCTTTTAATCAACATTTTTAAGAATTCAAAACTTTCCAACCAAAAAAGAACTAAAAAATATTTCTATCAGCGTAAACATATTCCAATTATCTTATCTTCTTCTTCTTGAAGATGATGATCTTCTTGTTGGTCTAGATCTTGATGATCTAGATGGTCTAGATCTTGATACAGGTCTTGATGATCTAGATGGTCTAGATCTTGATACTAGTTTTGATGATCTTCGAATAGATCTATTTGCAACTTTCATAGTTCTTTTTACTGATCTTCTAGCGGCATTAACCTTAGCTTGAGCCTTATGAATTTTGTGTCTGAGTTGAACTTTTGAAGATCCATGAGCTTTTCTCAAAGCCTTTTTCAAATTCTTAACCTTTTTCATCTGAGCTTTAAGAACACGTCTCTTAGCATTAAATTTAGTAAATGCCTTCTTTGACATTCCACTCTTTCTTGCCTTACGAGCAAAGACCTTAGACTTTAAAAGAAGTTTTTTATTAACACTTTTTTTAGTAAATTTCTTTGAATACTTTTTCATTGATTTTTTAGCAGCTCTTCTAATTAATTTTTGAAGTGCTTTCTTGTTAAACTTTCCTTTCTTAATTCCTTTTCTCATTGCCTTCTTTTCAAATCTTTTCATTTTTTTAACAATTTTCATAGCCTTCTTCTTACCGAATTTTCTTGTTAATTTTTTACTAAGTTTTCTATTAATTTTTTTAGTTAATTTATTAAATCCTTTCTTAGTGTATTTCTTAACTGTTTTCTTTTTGTTCAACCTCTTTTTATTAAGTTTTTTAGTAGATCTTTTCTTATTTACTTTTTTAACTGTTCTCTTTTTATTAACCTTTTTGTTAATTCTTCTCTTGTTATTAAGTTTCTTTGAAACCTTCTTTCTTCTATTAATCTTTGATATCTTTTTATTTAATTTAATACTCTTCTTTTGTACATACTTTTTGCTTTGTTTTTTAAGATTTTTCATCATCTTTTTAACTTTAAGTTGTGCTTTTTTCGAATTCTTCTTTGATAATTTATTAACTTTAGACATTTTCTTTTGAACTTTTCTTAGTGCCTTCTTTGAAATTCCAGCTTTCTTTAACTTTTTAATAAGTTTTTTTTGTGTCTTTTTAATTTTTTTAGAGTCTTTCTTAGTTACTTTCTTGGTTGTCTTTTTAACGTATTTCTTAGCAGAGGAAAGAACTTTCTTTTGTGCTTTTTTAGATGACTTTTTGGCAGCTTTTTGTGCAGACTTCTTGGCAGTCTTTTTGGCTTTTTGTGCAGTCTTTTTGATTTGTTTCTTCATTTCTTTTTTCAATTTCTTTTCTTTAAGAAGAGCCTTTTTAACGTTTTTCTTACTCTTGGAAATTTGAGACTTTAATTTTTTAACAGCACTCATCTTCTTTGTTCCTTTCTTGACTTGTTTTTTAACTTGTTTTAATTTCTTTTCTTGTTTCTTTTCAACTTTTATAGCTTTCTTTGCTGCTTTAGCGGCTTTTTTAGCTTTCTTTTTAAGGTCACTCTTTACAGTCTTTAATTTCTTACTGACGTCTTTGTTAGACTTCTTTGCTTCTTTGTTAGCTTTTTTAACAGCCTTTTGAGCTTTCTTAACGGCCTTGCTTGATAATTTTTCAGCTTTAGATTTAACTGAGGCAACTTTCTTAGTAGCTTTCTTTGCTGCTTTAGCTGCTTTTTTGGCAGCTTTCTTACCTGTTTTCTTTGCTTCTTTAGCAGCTTTCTTTCCTTTCTTTTCAGCCTTTTTGACTTTCTTCAATAATTTCTTCTTATCACTAGCTTCTTTCTTAGTGATTTTCTTAACTTTACTATTAACCTTCTTGGCAATAGCTTTTTGAATCTTACCAGCTTGTTTCTTTGCAATTTTCTTGGCTTGTTTCTTTGCTTGAGCCTTAGCTTTCTTTTCAGCCTTCTTAACTTTAGCCTTTAAACTCTTCTTCAAAGCTTTCATTGATTTCTTTAATGAAGAAGCTTTCTTAGAATCTTTCTTAACAGCCTTCTTTGAAGCTTTTGTTAATTTCTTGGCTTCTTTTTTAGCCTTTTCAATGATTTTCTTAGCTTCTATAGCAATTTTCTTTTCAATTTTATGGACTTTCTTTGTTGCTATTTTAACTTCTTTTTCTACTTTCTTAGTTTGTTTTTTAGTTACACTTTTAGCTATTTTCTTAGCTACAGAGTTAGCCTTCTTTGGTTTTACACTCTTAACAGCTTCAGCGTCATCAAGTACTTCTTCACTTCTATTGAATCTTTTCTCAATATGAAGAGTATGAATAATTCTTTCCTTGACATATGTTGGGACAGAGGCTAATAACTTTTTCATTCCCTTAACCAACTTAGCTTTTTGTTTCATAAATCCATTTAATTGAGAAACCATCAAGCTAACTTCTTTTTGAATTGTTCCTTTTTGTGATTCTGGAGCAGCTTCTACATCAAGTATAGCATGATCGATTTTGTCATGGATATGTCTTTCAATATCTTCAACTCTACTTAACTCAGCTTCTAAAATAGAAACTTTGTCTTGAACTTCATAAAATTCCCTAATGTAATAACCAGTGCTTGATTGATCAGCAAATGCACAAGTAATAGCGAGAAGAACAAGTAATACTTGCATTAAAATTATGCTAGTTAATTTTGAGTTCTCGCTTGAAATAGGTCAATAATCTATTTTTATTCAATCCATCTCATAAATTAAATTAAGAATTTCTTTTCAGTATATTTCCCGATTTTTTTATCATTTTTTAATTCTAAATTAATAACTATTTTACACTTTATATTTCTCGAATAATTTTATTTTTTAGATGAAATCAAAGATTCTATTTCATTTTTCTTTTAGGTGAAAAGCAAGTTAATTAATTTTTTTTATAATTATGACTTTTCACCATAAAAATTGATTACGTGAAAACAACAAATCCTAAATTGTCGAGTAACAATTATTAAATCTAAAGATAACACTAACTTAAATGAGTGGAATATTCTAATTTTTATAAATTAATTTTTAATTAAGTAACTCATTAGTTATGATAAAAATCATCCTTTTTTCATAAAAAAATAAATACAGGAAGAAACACAAAATTATTAAAAAATATTTGTTTTCAAAATAATAATTTGTTTGCTTATTCAAAAATGTTAATCAAAATACAAAATCTTCAGATTAAAAATAGTTTAGTTTTTCTTAAGATATCTTTCCAATAAAAAACTTTTCTTTTTTACTATTCTAAAATTTTTAAATATTGAACTAGATACCTTCCTGTTTTATAACAATGAAATATTGTCGTTTCCATTTGTTTGTCATATTATCATTTTATTCTTTGAAATAAATCTTCTACTTTGGCTTTCTACAATAGTGCTTAGATTCAAATTTATTTTCTCTATACAAAATGTATTGTTTTCTTTAATATAACTATTACAACTACTCATACTTAAATCAAACACTATGTCTTTATTTTTAAAGGTCACACTCACAGTAAAAAGAGTAAATAGAATGAATTTTTTTATAAACTTTTTTGATAAATCAAATAAACTGGTTAAATGAATTGTCATTATTAAAATTTGTTAGAATAATCATTTTCATTGTTTGAAATTTCTTGCTATTTTTATTATTTTATTTTCTACAACAAAGTTGTTTAATTTGAAAATATGTACAACTTTTGTATCAGTCAGATTTTGAATAATTCATATTTTAATAACAATAAATACAACAAATTAAAGAAAGATTGAATACCCTTTTCTAAATTCTATGTTTTACTTGTTTTTATGATTTATTTTTTTTTTGTTATATATAACAATGATACTAAACTTGTTACAGTGTTTAGTACATATTTAATCTAACAGATGACTTGACAACTTTTAGTAACATTACATAAATTATGTTTACTATTCAAAAATTGATGTTGTTGGTATTGAGAGTATATAAAAATAAGTATAACAATAAAACAATAATCATTTTAAGTAATGAGAATGAACTTGTATATAATTAATTATATTGGTCAAATTAATTAACAATATAACAAAACAAATTATCATTGATTATCATTGATTCTAATGAACTAAACAATTTGACGAATGTTTTATTGATTAAAATTGTTTGTGTATTGTTTATTAATGAAAGTGTGAATGTACTGATTTAATAAAAACAAGTAATTTGATATTAACCAAAAGGGTAGTAGAAAGTAATAAATTGTTTAAAAATCATTATAGTTAATTAAATATGAATTGAAGTACTATTGACTAATTGAATTTATCAATAGATTAAAGGATTAAGCAATGATTCCTCCCCATTCAATGACATACTTTCCTGTTGGTCTTTGTCTTTCTTCAACACTATCAATTGTTGGGAGATTATTAATATTTTCAACTTCTTCAAATTTTAATGCTATTCTATGAATTTGATTAAACCCACTTATTTTCAGTTGTGCAATTTCATTATCATATGATGAATCACAAATTGTAACTTTGTAATAATTCTTATTTAATTTTGCAATCCAGTAAACAATGAAGTCATTGATTTCTCTCGCATTCATTCCCAATTTTTTTAACAATACTTCTAATTCATTAGAAATATTTTCATGTGTTATGCCAACTTCCTTTCCTTTGAACTCTTCTTTCTTCAAACAAACACCTTCCCAGAATAAATAGTCAAAGTGTTTGTTATTTATTTCAATTACACAATTTGATACTCCATCACTACAATATGTTCCTTTCCATTCATACGCTTTCTTAGTATTGTCTTCTGTGATAATTCTTGGATTTGGATAAGTAGCCCCAATATCTATTGCATCATTCAATTCTAAATGACAACAAAACTCTTCTTTCTCTTTAATTGTATCATCATACATTAGAATTACTGGTTTTTCTTCCTCACCAAAATCACTCCAGTTCACTTCTTTAGAAACAATTTGGTCTTCTTGTTGTTGATGAGTAATAAAATTCATTTCAATTTGAGAGTTTGTTTTAAGAACACTGAAAATAGTAGAACATTCACACTCTTCTTTAAATGTAATTCTGTTTTTAATATCATAAATATGATTTATTTCATCTTCATCTATCAATCCTTCATTCCAAAACATTTCTTCACATTCAAATATATCTGTTTTGATATTGACTTGTTTAGAAGTATTAATTCTATTAATTACTATTTCCAACAACTTATTTTTTAATTGTTCTAATGTTGTTATACCAGACATTTTAATTTCAAAAATGAATAATTCACAATTAACAGTGAATGTCTTCTTTAAAAATGTTGTATTTGTATTGAAGTCATTACAAAATTCAATATAATCAAATACAAATGGTTGATTTCCTGTATTAATATTGACAGTGTTATATCTTTCTAATTCAATTGCAAAACAATTCATCTTATATTCTGTATGAATGACATTTATTAAATTTCCATTTCTTGTGTAAAATACAATTTGTTGTGATGGTATGTATCCACATCCAATAACATCACTATCTTCAAATAGTGTATTTGTATTGTTTCCTTTTGTTTCTTCATTGAATATTTTTCTATCATTAGAACTGAGTTTTACAACTCTATCTGATTTATTATTAAATCTTTTATTCAAAGTATTTAAAACTATTCCAATTGAGAAAATAGGATCTTTTCCAATAATGTGAAATTCACAGTATTGAATATCTGTTTTAATTAACTGATATTTGTTTTGTTCAACACAAACAAGTGTGTATTGTTTAGATAAATCTACAAATCGTGATAATTTCATCTGTTTAATATTTCGTAATGGCCCAACACTATCTTGAAATGAAACAAATGTGGTTGTTTGGTTCTTACCATCCATAAATACAATTCTTTGTTGAATATTGTTAAGAATAAATTGTACATCTTCTTCACTCTTTGGAATGATACCATTCCAATCAATGATATCAGAACTACTAATACTAAACATTGTTTTTAACGATAAACTAGCCTTATTGATTAATAATTGATTTTCATTGGTTTGCTCGTTTTTATTAAAAACTTGTTGTTGTTCAGATGGTTTTACAATAAATTCTTGGGTATCCATGATGTATTATTTGAATTTGAAATAGTTCTCCTTTTTATATTGTAAGATATTCATGAAAATGTTACACGTTATAGTTATTTACTATAACATAACAAGACATACCTCAAACTTTTAATAATTTAGAAAAAAGAAAAAAATAACAAAAAATAAGAATAACAAAAATAAAAATAAAAAAAAAATAAAAACTTCATGAGAACTTAAAAGAAAAAGAGAAAAAAACAAAAAAGTATATGACTTCATCTCAACAACAAATTGATCAATTGATTCAAAAGCTATATAGTGATGACAACGAAATTAAAGTACAAACATTAAAAGAAATAGATGGTGTTATTACAACACATTGGGCAGAAATATCAGAAGAACTTCCTAAATTAATTGAATTGAGTGAAACAATAGAAGGAATAGGAAAACAATATGCATATCTTGTTATTAGTAAATCATACTTTTATATTGAAAGTTATGATGAAGCAGTTAATTATGCATTAAAAGCAAATGAATTATTCAAATTTGAAGGAATGATAATTATAGTGTAAAAATGA